TAATTGTTTAATTATTAATACCAATGCCCATTCAAATAAACCAGCCATGTGACAAGTGACATTTCATGATGTCTGCCCTCTATAGTTGACTTCTTTCTTTTTTCTAAAAACAGTGCACGACTCACACAAACTTTGTTTGTTTTACTTTTAGTTTGTGCTTAGATTAAAATAAAACGCATCTGAATGCCGAATCGTTGTGTATTATCATTATGGATGCCATTTTGAATTGCACAAGACATCGTTATGGTAGTTGGGTATTCTTAGGTAGATTACATGTACAGTTACTCTGACTTGACACGATATTGGAAACTAAATAAATATAATTAAAATAATTTAACAAATATATGAATATTGCATCCAAGATTAAACCATTCACACTAAAGCAATTGCAGGTATTTTATATGAATCAGAATACTAAGAACTGCTTGAGATCTCATAGTGAAGAGTATCACTTTACATGAGAAATTTGCTATTTGCTTTTCAGAATGACCTAATCATTTCAACCAAAAGGCCTCATTGTTTTTTGTTAAATTTACTGTTTTACACCCAAAATATGGCAAAAAATTAGCTCATTATCATAGCTCATTTGAATATGGTAATTAGGGTTCAGCGACCTCACTGATTTTACATTTAGAATCTAATTTAAGTGCCAGGATTGTAATGTATATAATGAAAATATTTTTACCACTACAGTATAAGACTTGTTCTACTTTCCATATACACTACCAGACATGGAATTCATACTAACTCTGTATTTATCAACCTACATGTATATTAGACTACCCAAGTTTGTCTCTAAAATGTTCAGAAAAAAGTTCAGCTTCAAAAAGTAGGCCGTCAAACTTTTTTAAATACCACACAAATTTTGTAAAAGTAGATGGTTAGGTATGTCATTAGGATATCAACAGCAAGCTGTCACCTTTTAGAGAAAACACACAATATCAACAACCACAATAGAATGAGAATTGATGTACCCTACTATTTTATTATTATATTAATATTCAGTAAAATGTGCAAAAATAGTAATTTTTGTTTTAAAATTTGAATTAACGGTCACATTAACCTGTGGTCAGTATCTCCACACTTTAATATTTGTTGTCACATACTCACTTCAATGCTATTGCAGTATTTGCTCTATTAGAAGTGCATCTATATTAAAAGCACATATAAACCAAAAATCCCATTTATTGTAAACTGAATCATAAAATATTACTTATTTGACCATAGACACACCTGTAATTTTGATAGGCCCATGCATTACTAATAGAACAACTATGGTATGTCACAGTAACAATGTTGGATGTATTTTCCTACATTGGAAAGATATCTCCATTTTCAATTTAAAATCTAATGCGATTATTCTGTGTTGTCATTGTTATGAAATCCTATATGTGGATGGTAAGAGATATTACTGTAAAATACTTTATTTTCACTTGGAATTAATTTTCACTATTTTCGCTGATGGAATGATTCAGTGAAAATAAAATCCTGCGAATATACCTTTTTTCCTACATTTTACATTCAACTCATCAGAAATCAGTGAAAATAAATTCCATACAAAACACCCAAAAAGATTTTTCAGCGAAAATTAATTCCAGCTAAAATAAAGTATTTTACAGTAGTGTATAAATGTTGTCTGGTTTGTCAGTGGTAAATGTACATGTAGGAACTGAATACATAGGTACAATGTAGCTGCTATATGCGTGGGTGTATGTGTGCTCATTACAGGTGACACCAATAATTCCCAGGGTAGATTTTTATATCAGATAGGTATACCACAAAACCCTGATACGCAGCTCTATAACCATGCATGGCTTTTGACGGAAGTGATGTTATCTGAGTGTCTCGCTGCAATTATCAAGTTGTAATACTGCCATGTAACTAGGGACATGTTGATTCTCACTACAAAGAGTACTCATTATTGAAGTATTATGTCACATATTTATTGTCATGGCAACGATCACCGCAAGGATAGAAAATTTCTCTTGACATTTAAGTCTTCCGAGTCTGTAAATTGGTGCTGCCTGTTAGGTGAAATGAGTGGGTAAATATACATCTTCAATTCAATAGTTGCTGGCTAAATAAATAAATAAAAGTACATTTTGATCACCTGACTTAGACAAGCATTGACCATTCACCAAGATTTAGATGAAATAATAGGTCTTTAGATTACAAAATGTGAAAGAGACAAGTACTAGTGTACATACATGTTTGGGTTGAAAGCCACACCCACTCGTCTATACCCTGGGGACATAAGAACCAATGGAGCTGAAATATTACTGTGCGGACTGTGTCTGTATATGTTTATGGAGACCATTATGAATGTATGCTTCATTTTTACCTTGCCCATACCATCAAAGATGGAAGGGAAAGGTATATTAAGGGAAAAATTTTGTCCGGCGTCGTCGTTGTCGTCGTCGTTAATAATTGTTATTGTGTGCATAATAACTTTACACATTCTATTCCAAACTTTATCAAACTTGGTCACCTTATTCATCAGTATAAAGTCTTCCCTGAGTTTGAACAACAGATGTCCTGTATGAAAATATCATGCAAAAATTGAGAAAATATGATAAAATATTTTGACTGTTT